ATATATATATATATCTCAAAGAGCTGACTGCGTGAAGGGGGGCTTATGTTTTTCTAAAATATTTCTTCCCACCAATGGCAGCCACCATACAATTACCTAAACACAAATGTAGACTGCACAGCACATCTAAAAGCACTTCATAAACACTTTGAAGCAGGAGGGCAAGTTACCAGCAGCGTAGACGGGCCACTAAAAGTAACAGACACTACAATAAGCAGCAAACAATTTTTGCTACTGAAGCCTGTACACAACTAATTGTTGCACTATAAAACACAGACCGTCATTTTACATTTTTTCCAGTCCGAAAATATTTAAACCTTGATCATGTTTACAGCCTGGCACAAATACAACACTTTCACTCCTATATCTCAAAATTAAGTGATTGTGGGTCCTCGTGATATTAATCTGTTTTTTCACAGCAGGAGAGCTGATGACAGAAACAGACCAGCTTGTCTATTTTGCGATTATAGGTGAATATTATGATCAATAACAAATAATGTATAAAAATACAAACTTTTCAATATCTAAATAATAACTAAATAATCACCATCACTATTATGGTTTTATGATTAATATCTCTTTACAGCATGTGTACATTTCAGCAGCTAAACGGGGGAGGGGAGATTAGGACACTTTAGAAACCACCGTTATTTATTTATTTTTTACACAATAGAACTGGCCATACACTAATTGTGTTTCTCATGAGGGGGTGCTGCAGGGCTGAAAAAGAAAACAAAATATTTTTCCCTGCACATACTAAGCAGTGTAGATGGGGGAATCTCCCCCACTGGACCTATTGTATGTTGTCAGTGACGCTGTCAGATTGCCCAAACAGTGACTGAAGTTGATTGGCTGCAGTGAATTTTCAGACCAGCTGCTTTCACAAAAGGCAATTGAAACATTTGACTTTTGCTGAATGGAGAGATGCCGACAGGGCCACAAGCTGCTCAAATTTTGGCCAAATCCGCCGATCTCGGCTGACATTCGAGCAGCATATGGCCGGCCTAACAATTGCACAACTTCACAGGAATAAACAAAAATATCAGCAATGCCAGCCTGTGGCTCTCTATCAGTTGTGGGACTGTATGTGCCAGGCTGGCAAAGCATGCTGAAGCTTGTATTTCCACAACCGCTGAAGGGTTGAATATTGCAATATGTTTTAGGCACAAGCGCTTTATTCACTTGTTCATAGCACAATACCCCTGATGAAGCCAAAAAATTGGCAAAACATTTTGGCCATGGGTAGTGTTGACTGAATATTTAGTAAGAGGGAGAGAATGTTAATTAAAAAAGGAGAAAAGAGCAAATGTGGGAATATGAAATCAGGGATCCCCGTCCAAAATGTAATGGGGGCCATTAAAGTGATAAGGTTTTACCGAAAGAAAATACAAGTTATATTTGAGGCAACTCTGGTGCACAAATGTTAGCGTGGGTCATATTTGTGGGTCATTTATTATATGTGGACGATGCATTCTGCATAATGCTGCATGTAACGAGCTATACTAAATGAATTCAATGTTGCAACAATAAAAATTAGGAAGATATCAGCGATCCCTAAAATTAGCTGACTCCGGAACGTCTACACCCGGGTATCTGATGCCACCAGAGAGCCCGAGCACAGCCACCACCCCGCTAAGCCGGCTTCTTTCTCTTGAACAATTGCCTCGGACTTCCATCTGTACGATTTCCTTAAACATACACACGGTTTCTTTCTCAATCCCATTAAGAAACTACAAGCTGTGAGAGGGGAAGTAGATGAAAATAAATTTGAGATAGGAACAGGCGCTGGAAACCACATGCTGCATCTGCATTAATGGTGTCATCTGTACATAGCAACACAAACAACTCGTACACAGCAAAGATTGACAAGAACAAGCTCAGCCCAGCTTCTTACTTTATATTACAGAACAAGACATTCATAAAAGGAAAGGGGCACCCCGGCATTATAAACTGCTGAACCCGAGACAGGCTTGTGCAAAAGGTCAAGGCAATGTGTCACTTCAAGGCTCGTTGACTAGCAGGAAGGTACAGGAGCGATTTTAGGCTTTGTTTCCAGGCAATTTTTTTTTTTTTTTAATACTGCTCATGCAACGCACAGTAGCCATTATGGGACAGGAAGAACAGGCTTTTTAAAGGTCGTGGGGCCATCCTGCTCCTGTTTCACTTACCCAGGGGCAAGCTCCAGCGGTCAGAGGACACTCCTGCCGCTTGTAGCACTGTGCTGGGAAAGGGAGAGGTGTTTGGATCTGTCACCGTGTCACTTTTGTCATCAAACAGTAATTATTATCTACCTCAAGAGAAGAAAACACACCTGAGTTTGGAAATGACATCATGATTACTGTACCTAATGGGATGGCTGGGGTTTTTCACCCCTATAGGTGCACCACTGGAAAAAAAATAAAATTTACAGACCGCTCAATGTCGTGTAAAGTGCATTACACCATGTGAATGGGTCCTTACACAAAGACACAAAAACTAAACCAGGGCAATCTGCAACAATACTTGTACCGAGTACTGTACTTGGTATCTGTGCAACCCTATGCAACACTGAAGAAATACCATTCCAAGAATGTCCAAAGTCTACTGACTGCTATGACTTTACATTAACCACTGCTGAAAAGTAGACTTATTAGTCTCAGCAAGAACATCTCATCCTGTAGAATCCTTCTACGATAGCTGCCATGGCCAAACTACACAATTATTTTATTTCAGCAAACGCTCTAGGATGGGGGTATGCGTCACTGGACCAGTAACTGTGCTGTAACTACAAATCCCATCTCTGGGAGCCATGCCTGTGGCTGTCAGTCTTGCGATGCCTCATGGGGACTTGTAGTTCAACAGCAGCTGGAGCTGAGGTTGCCTACCACTGCCGTTGATACATAAACAAATCACACACAAAAAAAAAAAAAATCATAAAGCGCTCTCCATGCACTTTTTTTTTTTACAGCTTAAAGTGCAGTAAAGCGCACAATAAACTGCTCTACAATAAAGATTTCAGAATGACAGCTATAGTGGCCGTCCAGACCAGACCAGTATCTTAGCTGACGAAGAATGTGCAGAGTCTACCAAAAGGCAGACTTCTTCCACCCAGTGCTGAAAAGACTGGTCAGTCTCAGTATGAAGGTCTCCTGCTCTTCTATACTCCTCTCATGCCATTGCCAATTCAACTGCACGCCATTATTTTACACTTCTAAACAATCGATGTCGGATATAAACAGAACTGAACCACTGGGAAAAAAAAAGTGGGGAGACCTCTCTGTGCCCTTCAGTGACATTTAAAGTGCATGAAAGTGCATGAAAGTGCAGGGCCATGACACATTAGAGAGGAGGTATTCTACATACATGAGCAAGGAGTTCTTTTTGTAATGAGTTGCCAAAGAATGAGCAAAGTCTACCGACCGCTGTGACCAATCGCCCCACCGCTGTCCTTGTCAGTCCCAACCACCTTGTAATAAACTTCTATTCGGGCCCGTATACACCATTGCATTATATGCGCTGCAACCCAGGATCGCAGCGCGCTAGTTACGGTTATAATTTATTAAACCCTTTACATCAGCGCGTCACGTTTTGGAAAAATCCCATAATGCTGTGTTACATTGTAGTCAATGGCAACGCTTGCAAAACACAATATGCATTCTGATGAATGCCTCTTCCAAGTCACATGTCCATAGTTTCCATGCAGTAAGAAAATGCATAGAGAGCAAATGCAAAACACAGCCTGCGGTGCATTACATTTTGACTAAACGCTTAAGTACTATGCGGTTTGATGGTGTGAATGGATCCTTCAATCCCTCAATGAAATAACACAAGATCATCAATGGCACATGATGTTTTCCATGGGGGTGATTGCTAAGTCACACACACACACACACACACACATAACAGCAATGCTGCTGATAAATAATAGCAATACAATGTATAATAACATTAATAACAATAAAAAAGTATAATAAAACTGATATTTATAATAAACACTTATGATAATAATAAAGGTCGGGGTGGTACCTGGTCGTGCGGCGCCGGTCTTGTGCCCGATCCTCAGCCCCGGTTGGCCTCGTCTGATGCCATCTGTAGAAGAAGCGGAATCAGCCTCGTAAATGGTGTTTAACATTTGATGTAATCCAGGCATGGAGGCGGGTGAGTGAAGGGGTGGCAGCGGGCCCCGGGTCCCCTGTCCTATGCGTGTCTAGTTGTCTCCCCGAGCACCGATCACCAGCGATCTCCCCGGATCATCACATGGACGGCTCTCTCCTTTCACACCCAGCCAGCCATGCCACTCAGAGGGCACCGTGACCCCCGCAGCAGAATGCAATCCCAGCCCCGGTCACAATCCACACATGCCGCTCCGAGTCACCAAACTTTGCAGTTTCCGGGAGGGGAGATGAGGGGTGCTCGGTACTTTTCCCAGTGACGGAGAGGAGATCAGCGTTCACCTGCCTTGTGTCCGGCAGCGGCGGCGGCGGGCGCTTTGGGTGTGCGCGCACACACACACATACACACAGCGCTGCCCCGAGCTCAGACTGACAGAAATAGATCGAGAGGGGGCGGAGCTCCGCCAAAAATAGAGTTTGCAGCCCGAGCCAGCTCCACACTGACATACACAATAGAAGTGTGCATTGTGCAGACAGGCAGTTCCGGGATTGGCTGAGCGCGGTCCAATCAGGGCTCTGCTTTAGAAGCACATTCAGGGCTCCATCTGCTCAACGGATTTGAAGAGGAATAAACCTGGCGGTCACGTGTCTCCTTCCTCCGTGTACCTGAGCTGTGTGGACGGGGGACACGGTCTGTTCATTCACATAGAGCGCTCATGTATACGGACGTCATACCATAATAATATGTGTGGAGTAGAAAGAGCCTGTGTGCAAGGCGCATGTGATGGTCCCTGCAGAGCTCCTGTTTACACACGTTTTGCCCTAAATGCACAGAATCATTGCACATGCTATCACATAGATTCTCTTTTGTGTTGCATCGCTATTAATATTTAATGACATTCCAATGCACCTCCTGGTGGGCATGCCGCACAGCGTAACACACGCAACAATGCACGTTGTCATGTGGTGATAAGTAATGCATGTTGCAAAAGTTGACACTTTTTGAATTTGTAGCAAATTTGCTTGGCAAGTCTACAGCAAGAGTCCTGCAGGTCTTAGCCCTCGTTCATACCTGAACGTCTTGTAGCGCGTTCAACGCTCTACAAAACGCTCAAACATCTAAATCCCATTGCATTCAATGGGTCTGGTTCACACCTTGGCGTATTTCAGCCGTCCCTAACGCGCTACAAAGCGGCCCACGCCTGAAAAGGTACATGTAGTACTTTGGGCCATTTTTGTTGTGCGTTTCCATTGGGATATAGCCAAGTAGCCCTCGGAAACGCGTGTTTGCGTTAAAAAAACGCGCGTCAGACGCGCATATGCGATACGCCTAGGTGTGAACCAGGCCTTAGGAAGAGCTCTGCAAGCTCGCTGGTCTGGAGACTTGCAATGCAGACTTGCTGTAAGGCTGGGTTCACACCTAGGCGTATTGAATATGCGCGTTTGTTGCGCGTTTCGCGTCGCACGTTTTTACCGCGATTCGCGGGAAAAACAACGCGCGACAAACGCCCGTTTCCGAGGGCTACTTGGCTGTATCCCAATGGAAACGCGAGACCAAAACGCCCCAAAAAAGTACATGTACTTCTTTGGGTGTAGGCCGTTTTGTATCGCGTTCGGACAGGCGGAAATACGGCAAGGTGTGAACCAGACCCATTGAATACAATGGGATTTAGATGTTTGAGCGTTTTGTAGAGCGTTCGTCGAGCGTTGAACGCGCTACAAAACGTTCAGGTGTGAACCAGGCCTAATTGTGCAACAAAATTGTGAAGCTTGGCAAGTCTGCAATAGTTTAGCAAGTCGTTTTCAAACTTGCAGCTCAATTGCTTGCTATCTGGGAAGTGCATTGTTGTGCCATTGAGAATGAAAGGCAACGCACCAGAGTCTCTTAGAGGGGGATGCCAGACACCCGATACTATGGGTGGTAGCAGTGGCCCAACTATTATCTCAGATGGAGGAGGCCGGGGCCTGGCAGAGGAGGGGGCTGTGGCCAGAGGCCCTGCGGGAGAGGAGTAGGCAGCAGCGGTAGTTGGGGCCCGCAGATTTTTTTGGGGGGGGGGGGCCAAAAAAAAATCTTGCACCAGGGCCCTTTGTTCCTTAGCTCCGCCACTGCTCTTAGCGTGACGTAATGTGCGATAGCATGCGCTAAACACATGCACAAAACTCATGGATCCCGTGTGTTTACCACAATGCTATGGTGTGAACAGGCTCTGAATGTTCATGAGGGCCCATGCACACCGGTGAAAAAAAACGCTGCATTGAGGTTTGTCAGGAGTATAGTTATTTGTTATGGATCTAAACACAGCAGTACTGAATATTATGGGGCTATACACACAGCTATGTGGTGCTGCATTCAGCCATGTAAAATTACACTAGAAGGACCAATGCACATAGATGTATGATTGTACACAGGATCCCACATCAAATCATGTCTGTATACTGCACACATGTAAAGTTTGTGCTAGCATTTACATTCCTACCGCATACAGCACAAATGTACCCTATTGGTTGCTAGGATACTAAGCGGCTTGAGCAAGCAGCCAGTTGCAGTCTAGCAACGAAGGACTCTTGAGCTGCCTGCATCCAACAACAAAGGACACTAGATATCAGGAGATTGCTGCATCGTAGCAACAAAGGAAGCTAAGCACCTCCTGCTGCCTGCGTCCTAGCAACAAAGGACACTAGGTATCAGGAGCTTCTTGCATCCTATCAAAAAAGGAAGCTAAGCACCTCCAGCTGCCTGCGTCCTAGCAACAAAGGACACTAGGCATCAGGAGCTTCCTGCATCCTAGCAACAATGGAAGCTAAGCACCTCCAGCTGCCTGCATCCTAGCAACAATGGAAGCTAAGCCCCTCCTGCAGCCTGCATCTGAGCAACAAAGAAAGATAGGCACCCCCTGCTGCCTAGTGTCCTTCATTGCTAGGATGCAAGCAGCACCAATAGTGTGCATTTGCACTGTACATATGTACAGTAAACATTAGCACAAATGTTTACATGCATACAGGGTTGTTTACGGTCTATACACAGGACAGATTTTACTATTTGTTTTTATTTACGAATCTGAAAGAAGAGAAGTTCACTGATCCTTGTACAGGTGTGTGCATGGGCCAATAGAAAACAATACTCCTGCCTTTAGATCTGTGAAGAAAAAAACGCTGTACTGGTAAAAATAGTGCATTGTTTTTATGGCCGGGTGCATGAACCCAAAAATTCTGCTTCAGCAGTCAGTATTTCTGCATAATTTACATGTGTAAGTACATGTGTGTAAAAAAAAAAACATATACATTCATATTGGGATTGAAAACTGAATTAGAGCAATGGAAGAAGAGATTTAAGGATGTGAAGATTTCTGATCCACACGGACGTAACAAAAAACAGATATCTATACAGGATCGCACTGGCAGAAAGACCCTGCGTTATAAAATGTATGTGATGGTCCTTAAAGTGCTTCCAGTTACATGGGTTTAGTCTTGCAAACATCCTTAAAATGTTCACATTCATAAAACTCTTCTTCTATTGCTTTAGCTTAGTTTTCAATCGCAGCATGTACGTATGAACCTTCATTTGAACCTGCATACATTATTCCGAAAAACTCTGCAGACGCAGAATTCTCTAGTTTGAGCAGCACACGATTACTGAGCACAACAAAGCTGTGTGTATGGTCCATACTATACAATACTACTGCATTCAGATCTGTAAAACACAATGCGCTGTTCCAGATCTGAACACAGTGGTTTTTTATGCTCGTGTGCATAAACCCTAATATACATTTACGCATCTATATGTGTGTAAATGGAAGCACTTTACTGACCATTATATGCATATTTTTACATCCGTCTGCACAATCTCAATATGGGAGGTGAAAGGAGAATGAATGGGATGGAAAAGGTATCAGCGGAGGGGTTAAGCGATTGTTGTCAAACCAGATTTTTAGATTATTTTTACCATGTGTGTTTTTCAGTGTCACATTCCTCATTCCTTTCCCATACCAAATAAAAAGCTGCCTAACTGACACAACCTTTGCTTTCTTTTTATTGCAGTAATAAGACCAATTTCCATAAAAGAATTAACTGCAGGTTGCTAGGACCTCACGATGAAAGAGGCTTTCCAAGTCGTATTTCCTAGGCCTAGTTTTGTTTACGCTACAGAAATGATGCCTGAAAAACTAAATCACTGAATATGTTTATAGGCATTAGTTCATCCCGGTCCCGTTTGTCAGCTGGTAAACTCAGCAACCCTGCTTGTGAGGATGAAGAACCAAACACACCTACTGCAAGCTCAACACATGATGTAAAAAAAATCTCAGGGTTACGGCAAATAACCATTTAAGACATTACAATGTAAACCCCAGTGTATTTCTGTTGCATGTATACGAGCACTTGGGGTTGTGCACCCATAAGCATGTGCATGTGTACACAAGTCTGACGTATAGCCATTTATTGTATGCAGCACCTCTGACTCCCTGGTGGTGGAAAAATGCCAGAGTTTATGGCCACAATGACTGTGTGAGTAAGCCCTTAGGGGGCCTGTGTCAACAAGCTTTGGGCTTGTGCTGATGGCATCAGTTGGACAACAGTTTGAGATGGTTCTGAGACCATTGACGATTCAGGGACATGTGCTTTGACCTGCAGTTGACTTCTTTCTGACCTGCATTTGACCTGTTTATGTGAGTTTTGAAGGGCAAAATGACAGTGTCTCTGCAAAGTGGCCCCCTACCCCTTCCCAACCTTCTTATACTTACCTATCTAGCAGTGAAATTGGCTGCCTTAATGGCCCAGGGGAGCAGTGATTGCACTCCCAGAGTCATGTGATTGGCTTCTAAAGCACCTGCACTATCACAGTGGAGCAGGTCACATGCTCCACCATATGTGGAAGCACTAGGTAGAGTATGCTGGCTATTAAAGAAAAAGGATTGAAAGGCAAGTATAAGAGGGTTGGGGGGCCTTTGCAGGCACACTCTCACGTTGTCCTGCATGGCTAGGGCGAAAGAGTCTCTTTGATGACTAAACCAACAGAAGAGAAGATTATAAAAAAGCTTGTGTCTTGGCCATGCAGGGTAAACATTAGGCTCCTTCATTGCCACCCTCACCAGATGCACATACCTGCTCAGCCTTTGCTCCCTCTCACTCT